CTCAGCCCCCTCCACGCCCCGGGGAGCGCTCCCCACCACCCTGCGGCAGAAGGGGGAGGGGAGGGTGGGTAGGGAGCGGGGCAGGCTGCACCTTACCCCCTTCGCCCTTCTCCCGCATGGACACGTAGGCGTCGTACACGTCCCTCTTCACGTAGTTGAGAAAGCCGGCCTTGCGGGCGAACTTGCAGACAAAGGCCTGCTCGTAGAGGCAGTCGAGGAGGAAGCAGGCCCGCACGCCGTCCTCACCGCCGTCGGGGCTCTGCTCCACCAGCGCCAGGTTGCAGGCGGGCTCCTTGCAGCAGGCACGCACGCAGTCCCGGCCCCGCGCGGCCGCGGGCGAGGACAGGAAGGTGGCACCGTTCTGCACCGACGCGTCCGTGTCCAGCACGAAGTCGGGCAGCCCCACGGTGAAGTGGCCCAGGCACGTCTCCCCGAAGGCGACGGCGGCCTCGTCCCGCGCCACCCGGCCCCGCACTGCGGCCGCCGCCAGCGGCACCAGCAGCAGCAACACCAGCATCCTCGGCCGCTCCTTCTGCCCCCTGCTCGCCGCCTCCCCTGCGCCGTCCCCACCTGCGGAGTTTCAGGTGAAACTGCCTCGTCGCGCGGCGCCGCCCGCTCCTTCCCTCACAGCAGCGCCACCTTTAATCCTTCCGCGGCGGCAACCACCGAAGCGCAGCGCTGCCCGCTCCACCTGGCGAGCAGGACGGGGAGGAGGCGGAGCCCGCGGTGATTGTCCCGGCCGGGAGCCGCCGCCGAGCCCAGGAAGAGGAGCCAACGCCTCCAGCGCGGGGCGGCGCCGGGCGCTTTGTCTCCCTCTCTAGGGGCCTGGGCAAGCCCGCCCTGCCCCAGCGCCTGCCACTGCCGTGCTGATGTGCGCTTCTGAGGAGAGGCGGGGGGAACTGGGCTGCTTTAGTCTGGAGAAGAGAAAACGGAGTGGGGTTTAATAACAGTTTTCAGCTACCTGAAGGAGGCCCCGAAGAGGAGGTGGCTGCACCCTTCACAGTGGTGGTAGATGACAGAGCAAGGAGCAATGGCCTCAAGTTGGAGCACGGGAAGTTTAGGTTGGATATTAGGAAAAAGCGCCTCAGTAGGAGGGTGGCAAAACATTGCAACAGGTTACCCAGAGAGGTGGTGGACTCTCCATCCTTGGAGGATTTTAAGACAGAGCCTTGGCTGGGATGATGTAGTTGGGAATGGTCCTGCTCTGAGCAGGGGTTTGGACTAGGGACCTCAGGAGAGGTCCCTTCCCACCCCCACTTCCTATGATTCTATGGCTTGTACAATTTGTATAGAGCATATACCTGAGTATTTTTGCAGGCCCTGGAAAACCAAAAGCTCCTCCCTCTGTATTTCTGTGTACCCTACAGCAGTGGTTCTCAACCTTCTTTGCACCAGGACCCATTGGTAAACATTGACGGCCAGTCTTGACCCAGTCCCCCTCACTCCAAACCTGCTGCCCCCAGTTCCCAGCCCCCCAGTGTTTGTGGTGTGGGAGGCCCCAAGCAGCCCCTCACAGGCTGGGACTCTGCCAGCCTGCAAGGGAAAAGCCACTGTTTCCCACATTTTTCTCCTTTAAAGTAGAATCCACTTCCAAAGTTTGTTCTCAACCTTTTCATATATTCTTGCAACCCACTTCTGTGAGCACTGTCATTTTGCTCTGCCCCTATTTTCTAAGCATGCAGCTGATCAGTTTTTCCCCTCTGTTGCTCCATAAAGTGCTCCAAGCCCAGGGTATTTCATCAGAGGAAAGCTCTAAACCAGTTTTTCTCCTCAAATGTTTCTAATAGCTTTCAGGTGTTGTCAGGAATGCATCCTTTGACATCCTTTATTATGTCACATAAATCAAGCTCAGAGTCATCAACAGTGTTCCCACTTTGCAAAACCGGGCTGTTTTGGTCAGTCCGAGAGGACGCAGGAAATGTACCAGTGCTGCCCAACTGGGATTATCTTTGTTCAATTTCCTGTTCTTCTGCTGGTGTTTGTATTCCTCCTCTGAACAGGCTGGGAATGGGTAACAGTATTTTGCAGGCTGCTGGCCACACCATTCTCCATGGAGGTGCCTGAAAGCCCTAACCTCCCTTGAGGTTCTCATTCTTATGATTTCTCTTTAGCAAGGCATAGGGCACTGTATACACTACTTCATAGCTAATTTTAGTTTGCAATATTATATAACTCTCCCTGTGACAGGAAGAATAGCACAGTGTTTACTGCTCCACCTTCTAATAGAGACAATGATCTTTGACTTCTGAAGACACACCTACACCCTTAGATCCCTATCATAGTTTTCCGCACAGTTCTTGGGACCTTTTCCATCTCTGCTGTTTCAGCTCTAGCTGATTCTCGCCATCTTGATATCTGAAACAGCACCTCTGATTCACTATTTCCAGTGCTTGCAATGCTGTTGTCACCTTTTTGATTTTTTTTCTAAGTTTGGCTCTTGAAGGTAAGAGGTTTTATATGCATCTCAGCTTTCAAGGTTGTAAAGACAAACTTAAAAAGCCTCAAAATCCAGAATGCAAAAAATAACCCTGGTTTTGGGTTTTTTTTAATCAATTGTATGATTTAAAAATTGATTATGTGATTTTTCTGGCTGTGGATTTTATACACTCACATCTGGTCAAACTGCTGATATTTATCTACAAAAGGAAAATCCTTTTGGCCTGACTTTTTTTACCATACAAGATAGAAATCTGAGCAGTAAATAAAGCACAGTGTCAAGAAGAAATCAGTGGTGGGGCAGTAGGGGAGAGAGAGGGCTTGAACATTACTTATATCTTTATATACCCAGTTCTCCAGAACAGAGAAATAAAAATGTTTTTCCGTGCCAGATAGAAAGACTCTTTGCTAGAAGCATCTAGCACTCTCTCCTATTTAAAACACAGAGCCTGTTTTAATGTAAGTTTTCTGATTTGCACTAGATTTCTTTGGTATTGGACTGAAGATCTTAAAGGAGCAGCAGTTAACCTGGGATATTTCAAACAGACTTAGAAAAAATAATTACACTGATACAATATAGTAATAAGAGTAATTCTCTTATGTTTTAGTAGTTTTCCTGCTCCAGAAGCTTAATTGCAAAAAGGTGAGAATTGGAATTATGTTATTAATATTCATTTAGGTAAAGAGAGAACATTTGTCTTCTAGGTCAGTTAAAATGACCCTTTGGTATAGCAAGTGGATATCAACAATATTCAGGATTCATGTAGTCTGGTATTTGTGTGCCTATCCCAGGTGAGCTATCTTGAATAACTCAGTCTACCTTATTCTCATTATAATCAGAGGATTTCTTCAGTCTCTTGTTTCCTTTGAAAGAACATAGCTCTTACATAACCAGTGTTTGGACTTGGAAACAGACAAACTGACTTGTCAGAGCCACTCAAAACAGCATCCAGACGGAGGGCTGCAGAGGTCCCTGGAGATATGAATGTGATGTTCACTGCTCATGTTATAGTGCTGTGTGCTGAGAACTCTTCAGTAACAGTAGTCCCTCTAGGGCAGCATTCAGCAACCATTTCAGGCTGTGGGCTGGAATGATCCAGCTTAGGTTAGAGACAGACAGGTGGGCCATAGGATGTAGCCACCACCTCTGCCACTAACACTTCTTCCAGCCATAGCATAGGAGATAGTGCTTGCCCCTGAATCCTGCAAAGTCTTACATCTATGGGCAGGATCAAATGAATCTGTGGGCCAGATTGGCCTGTGGGCCATAGGCTGCTAACTCCCGCCTTAGAGAATTGGAATGTCTCTCTTTCCCTCAGCATTGCTGATTACACGCATGCAAATTGTTCTTCCTTCTACTTAGCTTGAAACCAAAATCAAGTTATCCCCTGCCTGCCATCATAAACACATGCAGTCTTTCTGGGTACATGATTCTCTTCTTCATCCTTTAATGCTGTGAGATTCAGGGTGTGAATACACAACATGTTCCCCTGGGTGTTGTCTACTTCAGATTCTTACTTGGAATAAAATTGCACAGGTGTCCAGAGCGGACATTCAACAGCCTTATGGGTAAGTGCTAGAATAGTTGGTAATGGCCTGTTTGCATTGACCTATGGGATAGCTGGGAGGGATAATGACTAGATCTGTGAACATAGGACTAGTGGAGTAATGTACTCCTTGCTTGCTGAGGGCTAACTTTACTCCAGAGTGGAGAGAGAAACATGGGTGTGAGGCTACATGTTGTGCATCTCCTCCACTTTTACCCCAAGGTAAATGTTTTGTGGTATTCAACTTCTTTCTTCCTAAAAAATCAGTGGTCCACATTTGGATGCCTAGAGCTCCTTCAGCAGTGTAAGAATGCAGCCAAGCACCCAAGCTAGCTGTCACACACAGGGGCATCGGTGACTTCTGGTTGCTGTTGCCACCATTGGTGTGATTTGTGTGGTAGTAACGGCAGCTGTTTTTCTTTCTGTACCCTCTCCCCAAGTTAGCACCCAGAACACCTGCTCAGGTTGTCCCACCCCTGTTACCCTACTGAGCAGCACCCTATAGTGCAAATGGGTATGTGGACTCTCTACAGGCAGTCAGTACTGCCCTGTTTGCTCAACTTGCCACAGAATTGTGGTTTGCAATACATTAGGTTTATCAGACTATGCATTGTTCTGGGTTATCTAAGGTAAACTAATCTGCACAGTTTCTTTCCCCGTATACTCTCCTTGTTTATATTGCAAAGAGTGAAATACACTCTTATCAACATTTAAATAGTGTACTGCTTACTTATTTTGGCTTTCTCTGTAGCTGTGGGATGAGTATGCTCCTCTATTGTCTAGCTTCATGTCTGCTCTTTGAGAAAAGCATACTCTAATGGCTCTTGATGTAGGGCCTAAGGGAACCAGTTCTACTACTGACTTGCTCTGTGGCTTTGGGTATGTGGCCTAACCTTGTTCTCCCTCAGTTTCCCCATCAATGAAATGAGAATACTACTTGCTTCTATCACCAGAATGCTAGCAAGGCTTTACTGATCAGTGCATGTAAAGTGCTATGAGATCATCAGGTGAAAAGTAGGATGTAGATGCAGAATATTTATTATATCACACTGATTTGGGGAAAGATTCATTTATGGCTTTGGCTCTGACCCTGGAGTCAGGTCTACACAGATACACATGTACTTCTGGATGCTTCTGAGAAGTTCAGCTGTTTAGAGGAAACAGACTATTGATGAGCTCTGAATTTATAACAGATCTTGTTATTAGTCCTTAAGGGCATGATCTTGCATGTATATTATTAAATTTCAAATCTCATTACTCAAAGTGATCTAGGTTTTCCAGTGTGGTATTCTAATACTCTGTTCTAATGATGCTTTATCCTTAGCAAATTTCATAAGAACTCTGAATTTTTGTACCAAGATCATTAAGGAACATAATAAATCAGACTGGTCCAAAGACAAATCCTTAAGGAACATCACTAGTACTTTCATTCAATGCAACAGTTCTCCTCCCAGCACCACACACTATCATCTTCCCTGTAGGCAAATCATTGTCTACCTTATAATTCTTACATGAATCTCCATATTCTCCAGCTTAATTAATAATTTCCCACAACTTCAACTGGGCTGCACCTCAGTTATGTACAACTTAACTTATTTATTTTAAGGCAAGAAGAAATAAGCCTTATAGCATTATATCATAATATGATTTCCTGGAGGATCCCAAATCTATGAAACAAGAGTTGTGTTTATCCAATAATGCGATGAGATGTAGCTGCTTTCAGTATTACAGTACTTATCAGAGTTCAGAACCCTGCACAGATGTATG